GACACTTACTGGTCAGAGAAGGACAGACGTGTGATTGGTCCGTGCCAGGGGCTGATGAAAGCATCAGCAGCATGTCTAAGGAAGCTGACGTTGGCCGTCAAAGCCAACGGGGACGTCAACACGTCTCAGAACCTGGCTCAGCTCGACGACCTGGCTGACATCACCAAGGAAATCAGTCCTGGGTAGGAACACGCACACAGTCGTATTATTGTGTCATCAAAGTGACGATTTTCTCTGTATTGAGTTGTATGGCAATATTTTATAAGTCATCATATTTGGGTGAGAGGCTGGAGCTGCGGAGGAGTGAGGGGTGGATCTGACTGAGAAGCCGAGGACACTATCAGCAGATAGACTGTTGACTATTAATCACGCATAACTTTAAGCCTTAATAAAATGTAAACGGGTGACTTGTATTAAAATTTACCTCCGCGCAGGTGTCATGGAGGGGGAATTAGCTGTAGAAACCAAAACTCGCTCTTGGAGCCAGCTTCAAGTGGCCATTAGAGGAACTGCAGTTTATGGCACTTCCATGTTGGCTTCATTTTTCAGTGCTGGAGGTTGCTGCTTGTTACATTGGCGTATGAAGTAATTTGCAGTCAATCGCAAGCTAGCCATTTTACCAGCCAGATGAGAACTGGAGTCTGAATTAAATATGCTAATCACTCAAGACAGTACTTTGCTACATTTGCTCATCAATAAATTGTCAGCATTAGCGCCAGGGGGCACTTACTTCATAGTATTGTTTTTCTGACCACAAATGAGACAAGAATTAGCTAGCTAGCACAGCCCATGAACCCTCCACTTCACTTCCTGCCGCCATGACACTACGTCCCTGGGAGCAAAGTGGGCTGCTGTAGCAACTTAAATTCAGCCGGCTGGGTCGAACATGTGTAATGGCAGCAACAGAAAGTTTGCTGATCCGACAGGGACTTGGGTTGGTTGAAAGGGCGATATGGGATCAGACCCAGCACTCGGGTGCTTGATCTGGCTCTTGGTGAATTTGAGTTGTCACAGGGCGCCAAGTGAGGGTCCGTCTCCAGGCTGCTGCTGTTGCAAAATGTATCATGGAAACACAGTATGTGTCGACTGTATGTTGTGGTAGTTACAGGCTGTTTGTTGACTTCAGCGGACTCCATTTCTTGTTGTTACATTCTATTAGTGCTGTAGTGGAACTGATGAGAGGCAAGGCAATCATAAGTGCACGTAACGTCCCATCTTTTGGATCTTCCCGGAAAATTTGTTTTGAGTTCTTACATTGAAACAATCAGTAATTCTTTCTTTGTCAGCACAGAAACAGTTCGAATGAGATGGTGTATGTTTTTATGCATTCATAGGGTTCATTCCTGCTTTTAGTGATTGTTGCGAAGCAGCTGTTGTCCAATAAGCTGTTAATGTTTGATTTTTTTATTTTTTTTTATCAAAATAAAATATTAATTTTTAAACAGTCATGCAAACAAATCTGTGTCTTGCTGTCTTTTCTCCTCAGTGTTGATGATCTGGCTCTCTCCCTCTACCCACCGATGGACTACAGCGGAGTAGAGAGCAACGTAAGACACACACGCACACAAACACACACACCATTGTTAAAATTCTTTGATGTTCAGAGTAGGGGTGTAACGATCCATCAATCTGGATCAATATATCGATTTAATGATCAATGATCCAATCACATTGATGCAAAGTGAAAACATCGATCCATATCGTCATCTTTAGTATAAGCTTTTATTTTGAAAGTCTGTGTCACTGTCAAACAGCGGCAGGCAGATGGAAAGCAGCCAAGAGAAAGACGATTAGGGTAACGTTGTTTACTTGGGAATAAATCAGCATATAAGGATCAACAGATGTAAACTGATGTTACGAGATAAAACACAACGTAACGTTAGAATTCTGTTCTGTCGGGAGATGCAGTGACTTAAACCACCGGTGAGTAAGAAAAATAATAATGTTACATGTAATATGTTAAGCTATGAGAAGAGGAAAAATGTCCACTAGGCTAATTTATGCAATGTAAACATGTTTAAGCTAATAATGGGTGATTAGCAAAAAACAGCTGTTTTGTCCATGAACCTTGACAGTTATTACTGAGCTGAATGTGATACCGTTCTTGAATGATCTTGTTGTTAATCTGTGTTTTATGGCTGTTGGGAGAAGTTTGGCTTCAGGGCTTTAAGACAGATATTCCTGAAGTTTTATGAAAAACATCATTGTTGGGTTAAAATGAAAAGATTTTTTCTTTTATGGTCAAAAGTAAAAAAGAAAGGTGTGGCAGCGTCTTCTGTAACAGATTGTGTTAAATGGGCATTTGATTTTGCCTAATATCAATCGCAGATCCCTGAATCGTATCGAATCAAAAATGTATCGTGGCAGACTTTGTAATATCGAAAAATATTATATTGTTGTCCGCAGAATCGATGTAATATCGTATCATGATGAAACTGGTGGTTTACAGCCCTAGTTCACACAAGCCTTTATTGAAGCAAGAGTTACAAGCCACTATGAAATTATCTAACCATTTGGCATCAGTCTGGAAACATTTTCCTACATTTAAGTTGCTAGATCTTTTGCCAGTGGTAATGCAATTCAAATGTTATGTTGTTCTTGGACCTGTGTTGGCTTGAATGTGCTCCAACAGGTTCATAGGGATACGTTGGCGTGTTGAGTAAGATAAGAGGTGTGACAGAGAGTCTTCCACAGAAAAACATCTTGCATGTCAGTTGCAGGGCTCGACAGTGCAAGCGTTTCACTCGCATTTGCGACTAAAAATAGGTGTGTGCGAACTGTAAAAAATATTTAGGGGCACATGTGCGCATAAAAAAAACAGCCGAAGCAGCCTATATTTTTGTCAATAAAAAAATATGATAATCTAACCGCAAATGTTGGAGGAACTCCAGCCGCCTTCCCTCTTCCCTCTTCCCCGTGTGACACGGTTATGGGCGGTTTCCAAGCCACTGTCGGCACAATGAAAGGTCCCACTGTCGGCAGCGTGGAAATAAGTCAAAGTGTGGAGGAAGCGGCGGACCTACGTACGGGGAAGCCTGCTCCGTTCTCCCCGCAGTTAGGGACCGTTCGCCACGGTACCGCTGCTGGGCAGGGTGGAAATAAAGCCCTTTTCACACAGAGCGCACAAAGCACAAACCTCCGCCGACGAACCCATTCATTGTGTACGTGCTACTGCGGCGCAAGAGTGCACCGCTCTGCCGCCGAGCTGATGCCGTGGCGTCTGCGCGCCGCCAGCCTGCGCTCGAATTGAAAATTTTTTAATTTCACTGCAACACGCTGTGACGACACCTCGGCGCGTCCAATAGCAGAGAAGAGCCTGAAGTAGACCCGGAAGCGGTCACCATGGAGCTGTAGCTCTTGAACGAGCCTGTACTCCCCCAAATCCTGTCTTGCACGCCTTGCTCTCACTTGCTCTGTGCTCTACCCCGCAGTGGGCGCCGCGAAAATCGCGCTCTGTGTGAAAGAGGCTTAAGTCCTACAGAGTTTCAGAGGACCTGGAGAATGTTTTAGGATAGTAATAACTAGGGCTGAACGATATATCGTTATCGTATCTATACCGAGATATGAACATGCAAGATATTAATATCCCAAAAGGCAACGATATTGATGATATAATTTCCCCATGAGTTTCCCCAGCTTTACCTGCATGTACAGCTCAGCCAATCACAAACATCCTTTTTACGCTTGCCCTAAATGTACAGCTACGGCCAGCCAATCACAAACCTCATTTCCTGCTTGCCTTGGATCGACAACAAAGCCAGCCAATCACAAACATCCCCTTGAGCGAGGAAGACGTGCTGCTGCTAGCAACTTGCTAGTACACAGAACACATTTGCGACTAAAAATAGTTTTGTTTGAGCAAATTAAATCATTCAGCACGCTGTGTGAGTACAGATTTCAACCAGCAGCAGAAACGAAAGGCGAAACTTACTGGTTGTGGGTTGAACGGGGGTCAAAGACGGGAATACGGCGGAGCGCTATGGCCGCCGCAAGATAACGTGGTTTACCGGCGTTTCGCCGTACGTGAAGAGCCTGATGACGCGAGGCTACCGGCAACCGAGAACCCCGGCTCCAGGTGAATAAGTTGGTGTCATGACTGCCCAGTAGTACCGGAACAGCCGAGCCGTAGCGGCACACAGGTATGTGACGTGTCAGAGGAGAAACGAGCCGTTAACATTTCCACAAACCTCACCGTACTTTAGGGACTGTTCTTTACTTATGAAGGGACTGTTCTTTACTTGTCAGGGGAGGAGGGTGGCTGCTTGATTTTTATTTCATTTATTTATTTTATTTTGATCCCCCCTATGTTAATCACTTATTGATGCTGTTTTTGAAGTATGAATAAGTCAGTAAGTATTTTATTCCATTGAAATATCATTGATGTATTATAGAAAAGTGATTTATCTTTTTATAAATGATAAAAGGCACATCTGCCTCATTTTGGCTGTGGTATCCTGATACTACTCAGAACCATGATACTTTCAGTGGTATCGTACCGTGGGTCCCAATTTTGCCCCAAGCCAGGTCGGATTGCCGATGCATTCAGTAGCATAATGCCATACCAATCGACGTCCAGCAGGCACAAAGACATTACAAATGCTATAACGTACCATATTGCTACACATGATTCCCGTGTATTCAGTCACTAAAGAGGGCTTCCAGAAAATGTTTCGGACTCATTTTTTTTGTTTTTTTAAATTTATAAAGAATGCTTAGTTTTCACTGAACCCATAGTCATATCGTATCGTATCGGTATCGAGATATCTTGCATAAATATCGAGATATGAAATTTTCTCCATATCGTTCAGCCCTAGTAATAACATATAAGATAATGATATTGCAAAGATAATATATATAAGATAATAACATTAAAGACAAAATTAAATTGCAATACTTTTTCAAAACTTGGTGATTTTACCTTTCTGTATATTTTGTATACAAATTCATTAAATAATTTTGCTTGTAAATGTCTATTTGCATCACGTTTATTACGGAAAACACATTATTTGATCAATTTACATTGTGCCCCTAAAGTTCTTTGTGCGCTCCTTACTTTTTCAACTTAGGAGCACATGTGCATTTCTAAAGTGCAGCAGTGTAAAAACACTAAGACTTTTTTTTTTAGCCAACACATTAAAAGTGTGAGTATTATGCTGACAGCACAAAATACAAATGTAAGTCCATCGCCTTTGTTGACCAAAAATTAACATCAGCTGACACTATACGCCACGTGTGCCTTACAAGGGATTTTATATATGGAAATATTAAGCAGTTCTTAGTCCATTAGATTAAATTAGGTATTTTAATCAATAAAACGTTAATTATTTCAGATAATATCATTCGCTGTAACTCCCTAAGGCAAGAGACAACTTAAATTTGGGTCAGGTCAAAAATCTGCCAAGTCATCAAGGTAATTAAACGCCTTTGTCAGGCTATTCCTGTCTTGTAGAGAACACTTGCTCTGAGCTGCATCACAGTCTCATTGTTTTCATAGCCTGCCAGGTATCCCCAGTCAGTGTCCAGCACAGCTGTAGGAAAGTTTACTATTTTCTTTATTTTGACACCTCTTTCTTCTTCATGTACATCACTTCCTTTTCTCTCTTTTCCTCGGCACTGCTTGGTTCCTGTTACTCTTTGTTCACTCATTAACTGACTGAGTTCACCAGTTCACCCCTAATGTTGATAGATGAAACTGTACAAAGCAAACCACGGTTGCTGTCTTCCACCCAGGCTTATTGTTGTGTCTGCAGAAATAGAAAACCCCTCTTTCTTTTTGTAGCCGCCTGGACCACACTGCCTAATTCTGCCTGCACAGTCTCGCTGGACTGCTGCAGCTTGTACATGTGTGGTGTCCACACAGACAGCGTTGCTGCTGTGGCGCTGCCTGTCAGTCCAATCTTTCTAAATTGAGTTTGCCTTTAATAACAGCCATAAATAACATCATATTTCATTCCATTTCATTATAAATGTAGTTTATCTTTATTGTAGACAGAAATAGGGTAAGAAGGGTGTGCTCAGTTATAAATAATACATGATTATATCAAAATAAGTAAATAATGAATATACAGTGATCCCGCTTTACTTGGCCTGGCTATGACTACTATGTTTCCACATTTAAAGGCAGTACTTAAACTTACTTAAACCTGGGCCCTATTTTCTGATCTACTTTTGTCTAAATGAGTGATAGGATGTTCAATATTTGACATTTCTCCGGTACGAAGCTCGGGCTGACCTGCTTGCAGCCCATGAGCGCGCGCTATATTAAATAATAGGGCACTCAGACAGCTTCACACAACGTCAAAATACGTCCACTAAAAGTGCATTTTTTTCACACAGATAGGCTCGGATTGTTAGTATAATTATCCAACAACATAACGGAAAGGAGAAATGAATGTCTGTGTTTACCTTTAGCTGGATTCGGACATGTTCCTCTGCCTATTGCAATTTTAGTGCTACCGAAGTAACACTGCTCCCTCTCTCTCCTAGTCTGCTCTTCAGTTTCAATGAGCTCTGCGTGTACTCCGTGTTTGTTGGATAATTATACTAACAATCCGAGCCTATCTGTGTGGAAAAAAATGCACTTTTAGCAGACATATTTTGACGTTGTTTGAAGCTGTCTGAGTGCCCTATTATTTAATATAGCACGCGTTCATGTGCTGCAGGCAGGTCAACCCTAGCTTCACACTGGAGAAATGTCAAATATTGAACATCCTGTCACTCACTTTAAGTAATTTATGGAGCCATGCAGGTCCTGTAAAATATTTACAGGACTGTGGTGGCCCCCAGGAAGTGAGCCGAGCTTTAAAGAAGTTTTCGTAGTGGCAAAACAGTGCTACTGCACTTTCCGGGCTCGGTCACATGTTGCCCTGCGGCCCAAAAAGACCTTTTCCCATAGACTTAGATAGAGACGTCTAGCAATCAGAGGATACATTTTCTTGAGCATCCCAATCTCCTCGAAATGATTGGCTCCACTATCAAGTTTTCAAGATAACATTTTGAAAGTCTAAAAGAGCCGCATGATTAAATCATGTTATCCACATTCGTAGCTGAGCGCTAAACTGGAAGTTGGCCACTTGCCACATTCAGCTGTGCTCAGCTGCTGCAAGTCTCCAATGGGCTTACTCTGTGAGCCCAGTGATGCAGAAGCAGCACTGATCATCCAGGTAATTTCATACCATGAAAAGAGAGCATTTTGGTTTAATGCCCAACTGAGCAATTGTCATAGGAATCCATGCCCCGCCGACAATGCTGTATCCAGGCTCCAGCCTCCACCCCTCTGTGCAGCTCTTAACAGGATATCGGTTACAGATGATGAATGAAGAGAAAGAAGAATACATCACAAAATAATGTGATTTCTTACTCTTCTCTAGTCGTATCTAAGCAGATAATTTTGGCTCATTTTAAGGTGAATGGAATTTCACTTAAATATTCACCATTTTCAGAAACAAAGTCCACATTACTCAGGATGATTCACAGAATACAGTGTCAGCAGTTTTTAAAGGGACTCTTTCATCTGCAGAAAGTCAGTGCGTTGCAGTCAGAACAGGTCAGGATCTGGTTGGTTGGGGTTTTTTGTGTGATGGTGCCAGCTGCTCCCGCGCGTTATTTACTTACATGCTCCAGCCTGTCAGTTTCAACACTAACCCTTGTAAAGCATACAATA